GAAAGAAATAAGAAGAAGAGCCGCACGAGAGGCAATGTCAATGTTACGAAGATCGCCACGGCAGCAGCAGAGGCGACGGCAGCGTTGTCTCGTTTTCATTGCTTGAGATGCTGTGCTGCATTCTATATATTCCCGCAACAACAACAACAACATTGTATAGTTTTTATAGCTTGAGAAGCCACGCAGCATTTAGCTGGTGGTTGTTGATGCTACTACCAACCACCCACTCACCCAGGACACATGTGCACGTATTACAAAAAAAATGAAGAGAGAAACGCAAAAATTCCCATAATTAATGCGTAACAGCGTTGACGTCGACGTCGACAGCAGCTGCGTCGTCAGCGATCAGGGATGCGCAATAACCGTTCACAGGCGACCCATGCACATGCGCGTGTGCATGTACGTATGTTTGTGTGTGCGTGTGTGCATACAGATCTTTGCTCAGCTCTGTCGGCGTTGACGTTTCCGCTTCTTTTAGTGCTGCTATTACTTTTACGCGCATTCACGTACCGTTAACTTTTTTCCTCTCTTTTTGTGCATGTGCAAGTGCTGCTTGTTGTTGTTAATGTAGCTGCGTTTGTTTTTGCCTTTGCATTTGCGCATTGTGGCGCTCACGCACGACTTGAACCCATCGACTCCTCCAACCCCCCACACACATAGCTCGTTAACTGCCGTTACCTTTTTTCACCCGCATCATCGCGTCGTTTATACACGTTGCTAGTTCCAATATCCCTAATACCCTTACAAACTATGGTATTAACAATTATATAACGAGATATGTAACTAAATTATAAAAATCGAGTCGATTTGCAATCGATGCATATGTAAAGTATGGACGTCTTTACAATGGCAAGGGTATTTAATTTTCTTTACAACATGACAAGGGTATTTAATTTTCGGTATTAAAAAATCAGCTGTAATTTCTTGTGTTCTTTTTGCAGTTGTTACAAAGCTGCTGCGGGCAGAGTTTACGGTTATTGTGTGCAAACCTAACAATATATGTATGTTTGTTGCGAGCTGCGTCTGCCTTTGTGTGTGTGTGTTAGTGATGTACATAAATATGGCAACTAACCGCACCTTTTTCCGTTAAACGTTTGAACTTCTGATTTACGCTTGAACTAACAGCAAAGTCGTCATCGCTTTCACGTTGTTTCGTATAAGCGTATTATCTATATATACATATGTATATAATGTATGTATGTAAGTTTGAGTTTGTGTATATGTACATATGATTCCATGTATGCAAAA